CAGCTAATTCCCTAGCTGACGGTTTAGCAAAACAAGGGGCAGAAAGGGATTCCTTGTTTTGGGCTAAGTTGTAATGTTAGTGTCCTTGTATCTTTGTATTTTCTTCTTTCCTTTCTTGAAGTTCTTTGTTACTCTTGGAAGATAAGTGTGTTTGTCTTCCACTTGTAAATTTTCTACTGATGAATTAATGAAACTGTTATTGATAAAAAAAAAAAATATCTTGTTTCACAAAATCCCAGCATTTAATATAGAAAAGGTTGGTAAGTCCATCCGGCCCTGGTGATTTATCATTAGCCAACATGTTAACTGCTGCTTTAATTTCCTCCTTCGTAAAAGGTCTCTCAATGAAGGAGGACTGATCTTCACTCAGCTGCTTGAAGGGAAGGTTTCTAGGAAAAGGTCTAAAGGTCCAAGACTCTTTATAAAGATTTTTATAAAAGCTAGTTGCCACTGCCTTCATATCTGCATCAGATTCCCCCACTCTTCCCTCCCCTTCCAACTTACTAATTGATGAAGCTCTTGCTCTAGCATTTGCCATTCTTTGAAAGAAATGTGTGTTTTTATCCCCCTCTTTTAACCAAACCACTTTAGCCCTCTGTCTCTACTTGATTTCTTCAGTCACAGGCAACTTATCAAACTTAATCTTTGCCTGAGATCTCTTCAATCTGCTTTCCTCAGATAAAGGACCCATCTCTTCTGCCGAATCAATCTCCTTAATGATACTCAATAGGGCTCTCTTTTCAGTTTCTGAATTCAAGTTTTTCTCCATTTTCCAGATTTTTAGTCTTGCTTTAATGGCACCAAGCTTTTTTGCCAAAATGAATGAACTAATTCCAACCACCTGCAAGTCTTTCCACAGTCTTCAGCAAGGGAATGAGTTTATCATCTTCAAACCAGGTATTCTTAAACTTAAAGAGGGCTCTGATTCTACATCTAAAACCACAGACCAACTGAATTGGAATATGGTCTGAAACTGGCCTAGGAAGGGCAATCTGCTTAATATCAGGGAAAAGAAATTCCCTGTTAGGTTAATTTATTCTTTCTGTTATTGACTTCTTTGCTGCATTAAAATTCGCTGAAAAGAAATTCCCCATCAGGTTAATTTCTGGACTAGCTTCTTAACTTGCAGTTGTCCAAAATGGCATGGCACCTTTGGCTACTTCTCACTAAAATTGGGCCCTAACATAATGCAATAGAATTAGGATAAAATCCATGCTAACCTTTGCTCATTTTTTCATTTTACTTTGGGTTATAATGTAGGGATCCACAGCTATTCTTTGGCATCACTTTAACCATTTAAACCAATGACTCAGCATTCATGTTTAAGTTGGTTTGCTACAGCCAGCAGAGTCATCTTGTATTTTTCTGTAGTATATTGTGGTGATTATATCACAACAAACTGGTTGAAAGGACAGAGGGCTTCTGATACTTACATACCAATTCTATTGTTTCTCCAGATGTAAAGAGTTACTCATAATTTTTAGCCGGAAGATATTGGCTTTGGTTGTTTTCCTCATGTAAGACTACAAGGACACACAGCTACAGTACTTTGGTTGAGCACTATGAATCTCGACCTTGTACACATAAAGACTTAAAAACTCGCAGTTCAGGACCAGCAGATGAAGCTGATCCCTCAGCTCTTGCTGTTGTGAAGCTTTCGTGAAACCCATAAGACACAGAACTGCAGATCTGCCAGCTCCTGGCTTCACCTACATACCAATGTGAAGCTAGCAAGGCCTAAGCTCACTGACCCCCAGCTTTGGCCAACAACCTTCCTTGTAGCTTTGTCCTCCCCTTGACCCCAACCTTGCCAAAGTCACACTCGTGGCTCGCTTAGCAAGAGGCAACACAACCCCAATTCCAGGGTTGTGCCCCGTGGTGAGACCTAAAGAAGGGTGTCAAGGAAAGCTGGCACGGGCCAGTACTTGGTCCTCCACTCCACATGTGTCCCGACCAAAGCAACCTCGGATCTGATGCCCCGGTTAACTAAGAAGGAATGTCTGAGGAATATCCCAAAAGGCTGCACATACCTACCTGGTCAGCTTTTCCCCTACAAATGTGGGATTTGGTCACTTGCCAGAACAGCAAAGACCCTGAACAGTTTGTCGCCCTTGAGCCTGAGAGAGTACATACATCTTCCACACACAACCCCAAGGGGGCCATTTGACACTTAGCACTCTTGGCATTTGAACTCCCAACCTTCATAGCCCATATGCATCTACTCAGCTGTAAGCTTACACCTCATCTTTTCTGGAATTTAAATGTATGACCTTGAAGGAAGCTTAAGATCACATAATTGATTGAATCTTTTGTTGGCAGTGAGGCTGAGGTTTATCTATTTGGGGGCTGTATAACATCATGGAAAGTTGTGAATGGCAAAGATCTCCTTTTTGTTCGACCAGATGCAGTATTCAATGGCCAGAAACCAATAAGGTATTTATGTCTCAATTATTGTAGCCACATGGTTGTTAATTTGTTATTTTAATTGTTCCTAATGCTTGTTCTTATTAGTTTTGAAATATCTATTGAATTCTGTATTGGATTTTTTTATAAGCACAATTTTGTATAAGTTGTTTTGTTTGCTTTGTTCTGGATTATATAGACTGAAAGAAACTCACAGAATTTTTTTTATTAGCAAATAAAATTTTATTATAAGAAGTAATTAAGATTTAGTACAAGAAACTCCCAGACTATATTGAAAACAAAAGTGAGTCTGATGACATGTAATCTGCAAGCTATGATTCTCTCATGGCTGAGAGAGAGAACCATAGCTTTTATGTTTCTTTATTTCTGGCTTGAATACTAACCATATCTATGTTGTAACTAGCGGAGGCATCCCACATTGTTTTCCACAGTTTGGACCTGGCCCTTTGCAGCAGGTACTGTTTTTTCTCTCTCTCCTAGTCACGGTTACTAATTATGAATCATCATTCCTCTTCATTTCTGTGTGTGTGCGTGTTTTGGTTTTGAAGGCCTTATATGGTTTTTGCAAATTAACAATAAATCAAGGAATAAACAGCTGCATACCTTGTGAGCTAAAAAATGGTCTATTTGGTCCATTTTCTGATAGTTCAGATCCTTTTGCTCTAGGAAGTGGCCTTGGTAATAATTCATCTAAAGATAGTACTTCATTACCATCATCATCTAAGCCTTGTCCTAACTATATGGGGTCGGCTACATGAATCCTGTTTTTTCATTCCATTCTGTTCAGTGCCATATTTGTTTCAAGATAGTACTTCATTGAAGGTAAAAATTGTGGTGAATAGTAGAGTTGGCCATAGTGATGCTTACCAAACCATATTAGTACATGTAATATGAGTAAAGTAACCTAAATTGAAAGAATTCAACCAGATGATCCTAAACATTGGGATCCTCCCACTTGTATGTATGATGGGAATAGGGGGGGGACAGGCTTTCGTGGAAGCTGATTATTGTAGACACTGTTGTACTAAATCTTTTATTCTGAGTTAATAAGTTACTGAAGTTACCCATAAAAAAATCTGTATCTTTCTAATGGTGATTTGAACACAACCTGGACTTACTGTTCCCAGTGTGTTCTAAAAAACTAAAACATGACATTATACATAGCCTTGGTAACCAGAATCATCTCTATTGGATGGTTTTCTATCTCTAAAATACCATTCAAAGTCTTGTGATTGGAATCAATCATGAAAAATGAAGGTATCACCACACTAAACATATTCAGGAAGAGGACCCATGGTGCTTGTTCTTTGCTGATAACATAGTATTAATTGATGAAACTAGCAAATGGTTAAATGAAAAATTAGGTTCATGGACAAATACCTTAGAAACAAGAAGCTTTAAAATAAGTAGGAGAATTAAAACAAAATGTATGCAATGTGAATTTAAATTATTTAACAATAGGAGTTCAAATCAGGCTACACTTAGGATTGGAACCAAGAGATAACTGAACATGGCTTACTCTGTTACCTTGGTTCAATATTTCATAACAAGTCAGTTGAGGAGGATGTTGACCATAAAATTGGAGCATGATGAGCAAAATGGAGGGGTGAATTTTGTAGGAAGTGATCTGCTACAAGTTGAAGGGGTTAGAAGAGCTAGGGGCAGACCAAAAAGGTCATGGATTGAAGTGGTAAGGAATGATTTAAATGCTTATAATTTAACAATGAATATGGAGCTGAACAGAATGGAATGGAAAAACAGGATTCATGTAGTCAACTCCATATAGTTGCAATGAGGCTCAGACAAAATGATGATGATGATATCACTGGCACTCATAAACATGTCAGCCATGCTTCTTCGGTGTCTTGACTAATTCTTACTTTGATATGTCCTTTGTTGGTTATGTCTCAAATACATTTTGTTAAAACCGTTCCAAATTGGTTGTTGCTAATGGAATGGTGGAAGTGTTATCCGATGAACTGCCTTGTTTCACATTTTTTTTATAAGAAAAAATATTTTATTAATATCAATTTCAAGTATTACAATAGGTGGGTTTTTCCACCTAATGTTTTAAAATGCGGAGGCGTGACGCGAGGCGTTCCACTACCTAGAGGCAAGAGGCGTAAGCCTCCCGAACACAAGGAGGTGTAAGCCTTCTTAAGAGGAGGGGGGTTAGGAGGAGGATGAAGAGGAAGGGGGGATCTCATTTTTTCTTTATTTTTAATAAAAATCTTTTATATTAAGAAGAATAAAGATTCATAACAGTAGTTCAAAGGGGGGGTCTCATTTTTTCTTTATTTTTAATAAAAACCTTTTATATTAAGAAGAATAAAGATGCATAACAGTAGCTCAAAGGGGGGGGGGTCTTGTCGAAGTGAAGGCAAGCGAGCAAAGAAGCAGAGCAAGACCCCCCTAACTCAAAAAAACAAATTGGGCTGCATCGAAAAGGGGGATTCGCCCCCCAGCCAAAGGGTAAGGGGGCAAACCATTTTCTTTCCCCCTATGCCTTATCTTTTCTTCCCTTTCCTTTCCTTTTCTTTCCTTTTCTTTTCTTTCCTTTTCTCTTTTTTCCTTCTCTTTCCTTTCCTTTTCTTTCCCCTTTCTTTTCTTTTCCTTTCCTTTTTTTTCCCTTTCTTTTCCTTTCATTTCCTTTTCTTTCCCTTTCTTTTCTTTTCCTTTCCTTTCCTTTCCTTTCCTTTTTTCTTTTTTCTTTTTTTTTCCCTGTATTTTCATATCATGTGTGTATGAAGTGCAAGAGGCATATGCCTCTAGCACACCTCATGAAAAAAGCACAAGAGACGAGGCACCTGAGGCGTATGCCTCAGAGGTATCAGCGCCTCTGGCATACGCCTCAGTGTCACAGGTGACTCCTTCGTCGCGCCATCAAGCACCTACCGTGAGCCATCAGAGTGCCAACCGCGTGCCTTCATGGTGTCAACATGCGTGTCATGGGTGGGCTTTGCATGTATTTTGTAAGGGGGGACCGCCAATGGCGTTATTGTAATTACATAGTATGATTTTTCATCCTTTTGATGTTTCCTATTGTCACTCCCCCAAAAGCTTAACGTACTCTTTGAGGGGAGGTAGGTAGTCGAGTGAGTCATGAGCATGTAAAGGTTAAGCATGAGATCCCCTCGACACCGAACTGTGTGCTTATGCTTGCCATCCATTAATGCAATGCAATTTTCCTTTTATCTAATTCGTGTGCCATCTTTGTTGCCTTTTCTTGTGTTGTTGCTTGTTGCTTAGGCTTACTTGTCGCATTCGAGTGCCGCATGGGGTCCCAACGACTAGCCCTGTGATAGTTGGTATCAGACCAGGAGCTCCTACACACACTCTGGACCTTGTTTTCGTCCCTACGTCAACACAATGAAGAGCAACCGTGGCATTGCCGATGACACACCACATGGGCGGCTCCAAGCCCACGACACTGATGAAGCTCCACTTGACGAACCTACCAAGACACAAGCCCCAAATGGCCGCACAACTAAAGCTAGCAAGCACGACAAACAAGTCGACCAACTAGCTAGCGTGAACATGTGCCTCCTACGTTGCGATGTGACAGTGGGAGAAACCCGAGATCGGGTTGATGAACTCCACCTCAACCTAGAGACGGTTGAGAATGTAGTGGTGGAACTAGAAGGACGTTTCAATGGCGCCTTCAGAGACATGCACACCACCATACAGAATTCGGGAGTTGGGCCTTCCCAAAGCAGCCTACAGGGCTTTCTAGACAGATTTCAAGTGCAATTGAATGAGATGAGAGATGAGATGACTCTCCTAAAGAGGGCGGTGGCCAACGCACCTAGCACTCCCTCCACCCTAGCTTCCATGAACATCAAGATCCGAGAGCCAACACCTTACTCGGGTGCTCGAGATGCTAAGGAGCTTGACAACTTCTTGTGGCAATTGGAGCAATATTTCTCTGCCACTGACATCATTGACAACCAAACTCAGGTACGTATAGCTGTTATGTATTTGATCGATATCGCAATGTTATGGTGGCGTAGGTGTTGCCAAGACATTGAACGTGGAACCCGCACCATCGACACCTGGGTTGGATTCAAGCGTGAGATCAAGTGGCAATTCTACCCAGAAAATGTGGAGTACATGGCGCGCCGAAGAATGAAGAATCTCAAACATCAAGAATCACTACATGACTATGTCAAGGAGTTTTCGGCCTTGACGCTAGAGATCTCTGACATGTTAGACAAGGATCTCCTGTTCAATTTCATGGACGGTCTCAAGCCATGGGCTGAGCTCGAACTCCAGTGACGCGGGGTTGAGGACCTCGCCACTGCCATGGTCGTAGCTGAGCAGCTTGTTGATCTGAGAACACCTAAGGAAGATGCGCAAATACCATCCAGTCCACGTACCATGAGTTTTAGTGGGGGAGATCAACAATCAACCTCTACAAAGGAGAAGCCAGTGCCCGCGGACAAGCCCTACAATTACCAACAAGGGAAGAAGCCACAAGGAGGCCCAAGCTATCAGGGCCACCAATTCACTAGGAGACCTCCTTCTGCACCTTGTTACCTTTGCAATGGGAAGCATTGGACGAGTGACTGTCCAACCCAAAAGAAAATAACTGCCCTCATCGCCAAACTCAGCGATAGTGAA